TGTGTGTGTGTGTGTGTGTGTGTGTGTGTGTGTGTGTGTGAGTGTGTGACTGACTCAGACTGTGTCCAAACCACATGTCCTGACAGGTTTCCAGCTGCTCAGTGTGACCTGACTTTGTCTCATCAGGCCGGTTTGGACACAGTGACCATGTTTTTAAAAATGTTTTTATGTCATGTGATTTTAGCATGAGACACAGAATGTGTCAGTCCTGATGTGTGTGTGTGTGTGTGTGTCAGTACGCTGAGGGCAGATATTGGGTTTACTCTCCAGTGCTCCAGCGGAGGAAGCTCAGTTCCTGCAGTGTCGTAAGTCAACAGATCTGAACACCTGAGTGCAGGATGTCCCAACCACCATAATATCACATTATAAAGACTATATTTGAATTTCATTTGACATTGGCATTTCTATTACAGTCTCACAAACTCTCGGTTGGGAAATCCTGCTGCAGGCTGTAGTTTTAGGGTTTTATTAGAGGTCTTACAATCCAGTAGCTCACCTTCATGTGTAGTTTTTCACCTCCTGATGGACAGACTCATGATTCCTGATAATATTTTTCACATTGCGTTCGTAGTATGGAAACCTAGCTTCTGCTAACTCAGCTTTATTAAAAGAGTGTGTAAAACAGTGTGCAGTACGTTTTATGTAGTAGTGTGCTATGCTGTGGTCACATGACCTCTCTATGTGTCCGGTTATCATATCAGAAACAAATACAATCATTAATCAAATTTAGTGTAAAATCATCTTAAACTTTTTGCAGCCCAATCAAATAGTGAGTCAAAAAGGAGATGATAAATATCAAAATTATTATTACTTCAGGTTCATCCATCAAACTGGAAATAGTATAATTGAGATCAGGGTTGTTATAGTTAACTAAAACTAAAACCATTAAAATAATGTAAAAAAAATTTTTAAAACTTCAAAAACTTTAATTTACTGTGAATAATTTGTTTTATTTCAGCTAGTTGCCAAGGAAACATATTGATTTAATTTAACTTGATGTACTAAAACTAAAACTGAAATAAAAATTAGAAAAAAACTATATAGACATGAAACAGCAACTAGTAAAAATGAACAAAATGAACAACAAAATGACAAAAACTTTTACTAAATTACCAAAGCAAACAATAAAATTAAAACAAAAACATGAAAATATAAAAACTAATTCAAACTATTAATAAAAATTAGAATACTATTTCAGTGATACTAAAAAAACACTGATGGAGATACTGTAATAGTTTTCATTAATATGAATTTGAATTAGTTTTGGTTTTTTAAGTTTTAGTTATTTTGCTGTTTTTTATCTTTTTTTTTTTTATTTTGTTAAAAAGTAATACAAAATTATATAAACGTTAAATGTTTATATAGTTTTTATTACTTTTATTTTTATATTAATGTTTTTTATTATGTATATATTATATATTTTTATCTTATTTTACTTTAATTTTTTCCTTTGTTTTTCCTTTAGTTATTTTAGAACATCAGTTGCTTTAGCAGCTAGCTGAAATTTATTTTTTTCTTTACGGTTTTTAGTTTGTTAACAACAATAACAAATAAATAAGTTTTATTATGTGTTCAAATCCATAAATTGCATACATACTGAAAATGTGCATACTGTGCACTGCATACGTATAGCATACAGCCAAACTAGTATGAGTATGATAGTGTGTGTTTGGAGGCACATTCACTGTGATCTGTCGTTTTATTCTTCCACTAAATGTTGAATGTTTCTAGTCACCTCATGCGTTTGCTCTTTCTGTCTCTGTGTGTTTGTGTTTTATGCATCTGTGCGGCTCCGTCTCTCTCTG